TGTGTGTGTGTGTGTGTGTGTGTGTGTGTGTGTGTGTGTGTGTGTGCATGCCCACACATGTGTAGGTACATGTGGAGGCCAGAAGAGGGCATCAAGTGTCTTTTTTCTATCACTCTGCCTATCCTTGGAAGCAGGGTCTCTTTCTGAATTAAAGGCTCACCTTCTCTCCACTAAGCTGGGACCCAGCCAGCACCAGTGTTCCCTCTGGCTCTGCCCTGCTCAAAGCCGCAGTTACTGACGTACGTAGGATGCTTGGCTTTTAGGTGGATACCGGGATCTGAACTCTATTCCTTGTGATTGTACAGCAAACATTCTTAATGCCTGGGACATCTCACCAGCTCCCCATGCTTTGTTTTTAATTTTGTCTACCTTCTCAAAAAGGTATTTACTAGCCAGGCTGTGGTGGTGCACACCTTTAATTCTAGCACTTGGGAGGCAGAGGCAGGAGGATCTCTGAATTCGAGGCCAGCCTGGTCTACAGAGTGAGTTCAAGGACAGCCAGAGCTACACAGAAATACCTTGTCTCAAAACCAAAGATTTATGTATGTATGTGGGGAGCGGGTGGTCTGTCAGGCTGCTTTTTTATTGAGCCTCTGTGGAAAGAGCTGTTTTCACCCTGGCCTTCACTGGAGTCAGTAACAAGCTGGATGTTTTGCCAAGTCTCCCTCCTTTTGTTTGAGACAGCAGGTGGGATGCTTGTCAAATTCACACCTTTTGTTTGTGTGAGGATCACACAGACAGGTGGTCAAGGTAAACAAGTCTGACTTCTCTGTGAACCCTTCATTGTGCTAAGGTGCTTCTGCTCTGATTTACAAAAGGATTACTGGAATAAACTGGGTGACTAGTTTCTCCTGGAAGCCATCTTGGACAGATCCCATGTGTATGGTGTTGGTTTATTAATTTTCTTTTAGTCCTCACTCCTGACTCGAGAACTGTTCAACTCTGCCGGTGGGCTCTAACATATGTGTTTTCTCTGCAAGTATGTATGAGCACATGTGTGCCTGGCACTAGAAGAGGGTTCAGAGGCCCTGGAACTGGAGTCACAAATGGCTACGAGACACCGTGTGGTCCTGGGAATGAAGGGTCCTTCACAGGAGCAGGAAGAGCTTGAAGGCCCTGAGCCATCTCTCCAGACCCTGTTAAAATGTTTTGTTATGTTTTAATCTGTGCACGTTGAGAGCATGAACATGTGTGCACCCTCCCCTGCAGCATCTGGAAGTCAGACAACAACTTGCAGGAGTTGGTTCTCTCCTTCCACCATGGGGCTCCCTGGGATCAAACTATTACTTGCTGAGCCATCTTGCCAGCTCCCAAAGGAGGCAAAATCTAAACCATCCTGCTGTTGCTTTGAGACGGGGGTTTGTGGATACTAGGTGGGCCAGGAGCTGGCTGAGGTGAGGATGATGATGGCAACATGATCCTCCTGCTTCCACCACCTCAGTGGCTCAGATCAAAGGCCTGGGCACCATCATTCTGGTTTAGTGTCAAGCACTAAACCCAGGGCCTCTGGTATGATAGGTGGATAACTACCAACTGAATCACATCACCAGCATCCTTGTCTTGTTGTTGTTGTTTGTTTGTTTGTTTGTTTAAAAAAAACAACACCTTAGGGCTGGAGAGATGGCTCAAAGGTTAAGAGCACTGGCTGTTCTTCCAAAGGTCCTGAGTTCAATTCCCAGCAACCACATGGTGATTCACGACGCTCTATAGTGAGATCTGGTACCCTCCTCTGGTGAGCAGGTAATAATAAATCTTAAAACAAAACCTTAGAAGTGTGTGTGTGTGTGTGTGTGTGTGTGTGTGTGTGTGTGTGTGCCTGTGTACTAGCTAATATGTATACAAGTAAATAAGTGTGGTACATGTGCACAAAAAAGCCAGAGGTTGACATGCTCTTCAATCAGGCTCCAACTTATTTTTGGCTAAATTGGCTGTCCAGCTCCAGGGATTCCCCCTGCCTCCACCTACCCAGTCTTCCTTGCATAGCTTTTCATGGATCCTGGAAACTGGATTCAGGCCTCCATGCTTAAATGGCACTTTATAGCTCCCCAGCCCTGTGTTCTGTTTTGAGATAACGACTTGCTATGTAGGCTAGGCTGGCCTCAAGCTCATGATCCTGCCTCAGCATCCTGACTGCTCGAATTACATGCTTGACTTCCAAATCCAAATGCAGAGGCAGGGAGCCCAAAGGTGGCTTGGGTATGGAGACTGGTCTCGATGGCAGTCTGCAAGACAGAACACAGGGCCCTTTGCAGAAGAGGCAGGTCAGATGTGTAATGCCATGTGCTGCCATAGCTGAGCTTTTGCTCTGTGAAGCTGATCCACCTTTCCCCTGATAATCGGGATGGAGCCTATTTTGAGTGACTGAAACTTAAAGTTTGTCAGAAGGTACACACTGACTCCTCTGACAATGAACAGGGAACTGCCATATTCAGAAAGAGCCAGGGGGTGGTGGTTGGGGTGGGGCCCTGCAGCACAGTGCTTAGCCAGAGTCTACATCACTCTTGGTAAATTCTAGGTAAGTGAGCTGCACTTAAGTTTTGCCTCAGCCCCTCACTGGGGGACTCTAGGCAAGCATGAGGTACACTTTCTGCTCAAATACCGCCCCCCTCTCATGAATGTTATCTAGCATGTGTGTCTGTGTCCCATGTGCATACATGGTACCCATGGGAGGCCAGAGGAGAACAGATGGCTATGAGCTATCATGTTGAGTGCTGAGGACAAACCAGATCCTCTGGAAGAGCAGCCAGTGCTCTTTACTGAACCATCTCCATTCCTCCTTCTGTTCTCTATTTCTTTTTTTTTTTTTTTTTTTTTTTTTTTTTTTCTGAGTCAGGGCTTTTCTGTGTAGCCTGGACTACTTGTCTGGGTGTCCTGGACTAGGACTTGTAGCCCAGGCTGACCTTGAACTCACAGAGATCCACCTGCCTCTGCCTCCTTGAATGCTGGGATTACAGGTACCACCACACCCGCACACCCGACTCCTTTTTTTTTTCCTTTGTATTTTGAGACAGAGTTTTGATAAATTACTCAGGTTGACTGTCCTGCCTCAGTTTCTGGAATATGTGGGATTGCAGGCTTGCCCATCAGGCCTGGCTACTTGCTGGACTCTTGAACACAACGTTCCTGAAGACACAAAGATCCTTGCAATGTGAGGGTGAGACATTTCTCAGCAGCTACTAGCTTCTGAAATCTAATCTTAGTCATGAAAAGTTACCTGTAAAACCTCTACTCATTTTCTAAGTTGAACACATTTGAGCTGCAATGGAAACCATGAGCAAAATGAAAATTGGGAGTAGGTTGAGGCAGGATAAAAAGTTATGCTGTGAAGTATGGTTGTATGTGTTTAAGAGGAGGATATCAGGAGTGTTTTCCTCTAGTTCTCCACCTTAATTTTTGAGACAGGCTCTCAAGTGTCCACAATGCTGGGACTACAGTTTCTAAATAGATACTGGGGATTTGAATTCAGGTTCCTCTTACTTTCAAAACAAGTGCTTTTATCAACAGAGCCATCTCTCTAGCTCCTGAACTGGTCTGTATTAGGGAAACCCTGCATCAAAGTGACAAAGTGAGGGCCAGAGTGATGGCTCTGCAGTTTGATCTCTGGAACCCACACTGTAGGCGGAGAAAACTGGATCCCACAAGTTGTCCTCTGACTTCACAATGCACTGTGGAATGTGCACTTTCAGATACAAAACAAAGAGATGTAACAGAGCCATGTTTTAAGAGAAGGAGCTGGAGCCGGGCATAGTAACACACGCCTGGAATCCCTTGGGGAGTCACTTGGGGAGGCAGAGGCAGGCAGATCTCCGGTGAGTTTGAGCCCAGCCTGGTCTACAGAGTGATTCCAGGACAGCCAAAGCCACACAGAGAAACCCTGTCTCCACAAACCAAAACCAAAAAAAAAAAAAAAAAAGAGGGGGAGAGGGGGCACAAAAAAAAATTTAAAACACAAAAAACCCAAAAAAAAAAAAAAAAAAAAAAAAAAAAAGTGAAGGGAAAGGAAGAGAGAGAGAGGAGGGAGAGGAAGAAAAGAGGAGATGTGGAGACCATCAGCGGACATGAGCATGCTTTATTCTCTATGTTCCCGGCTGTCCTGGAACTCACTATGTAGACCACTCTAACTTCCAACCCACAGAGATCTGTCTATCAGAGCTATTAGCTGGAATTAAACTCATGCGCCACTACAGCGAATGTATATGCTTTAAAGAGACACATAGGTCAAAGAGCCCTGGGCTCACTCCTAGTAGACTTTGGGTCTGCAAGGGCATGGAGTGAACCTCAGGTGTGATCTATTAAGTTGTATGAGCCGGACTGAAGAGATGGCTCAGTGGTTAAGAGAATATACTGCTCTTTCTGAGGACCTGAGTTTGAGTCCCACCAGCATACCCATCAGGCGGCTTACAATTGCCTGTAAACCCAGCTCCAGGGGAACCAGGGGAACTCTGTGGGTACTTGCATTCACGTGCATATAGCCACACATAATTAAAATAATAAAAATAAATCTTAAAGAGAAAGATGTATGACTCTAACCCCAAATCCCCACTAATTCTAAGTGAGGACTGCCATGGGTTTTTTTCAACAGGGTAGCATGGGGCAGCACTCTGCAGGTGGGATCCAGATGATTAATCTCTTCAGGACAAGCCTGCATAGCAAAGGCACCCTGTGGGAAGCTTGACATCAGACAATAACTCCTGTGTTCAGAGCCACCCACGAAAAGCTTACCTAAGACTGTTAGAAAATGCGTAGCCAGGCAGGTTGTGGTACAGGCCTGTGGAGGCTGAGTCAGGAGGAGTAAGAGCTTCAGCCAGTGTGGGCTGCAGAGTGAGATGTGTGGGTAAGCTTGGGGACAGGGGGAGAAGGAAGAGATAGTACACACACTAGTGAGATTAACTCAGGGGTAAAGGTGCTTGCCGCCTGCGCCTACCCAGGACCAGTGCTCCATCCCTGGGACCCACTTAGGGGAAGGAGAGAACCGACTCCTGAAAGTTGTCCTCTGACCCTGACGGGGATGTCGTAGCATAAGCCAAAATGAACAATGCAATTTAAAAGAGAGAAAAAACAGAGGAAAAGAGAGAGAGAACGAACAAAATAGATTCAGAGAGGGAGACCAAGAGAGGAAACATTAGGATGGTCCCCTAAGAGGGTGGGGTGTTTGTGAGGGTCAGCAATGAAGGAAGGACCCCTCAACACACCCACGCCAATACCTAAGGGGTATTGACGAGAAAGAAAGCTAGCATTGGGAAGCATCCCTTTGTCTTGTCCTCCTTGTTCTCAGGCAAGCTGCAGAACCTCAGCTATTATTGGTCAACCAGAGGGCCCCTAGGAAACAGTTCTGTGTTCTTGTCCCTCTAAGGAACAGCAATTGACAATAATACCTTTACGTGTTGGATTTTTAATTTTTGGGTTTTCAAGACAGGGTTTCTCTGTGTAGTCCTTGGTGTCCTGGAACTTACTCTCTGGACCAGGCTGCTCATGAACTCAGAGATCTGCCTGCCTCTGCCTCCTGAGTCCTGGGATTAAAGGTGTGCACCCACAGTTGTTGTTTTGCATGTGTGTAAGAGAGAGGGTTCACTAACTCCGGCTGGCCTGAACCTTGCTATGTAGACCACAAAGATCTGACCATCTCTCTCCCTGAGTGTGGGATGACAGGCCTGTGTCACCATACCTGGCTTCTGAGGCTGTTTATAGGGGTGTCAACTTGAGGACTAGGGTCACATGACACTCATACATGCAGCCAGCAGCACTGTGGACAGTCACAACTTCAAGTTGTCCCCTCCCTTGGAGGAGATTCAGACAAAAACCTCACAACACTCCCTGGGTTAGTTTCAAATGGCAGAACAATGTCACAGTTTGGAAATGAACTTCTTTTCTTTCCTACTCATATAGCACAGAACTAAGTCTGAAATCTGGAGGAGGTAAGAGAGAGAGAGGGAAAAGGTGAGGGAGAGGGAGATAAAACTATGAAAAACAATTCTTGGTCTCCCATACCTAGAGATGCTCACAAGATTACATAGATGCATAAAGCATCAAAGGTGAAGAAAGGGCTGGGGGCATAGCTCAGTGGTAGAGCACCTGCCTAGAATCCCCCAGTGAGGGGCTGGGGTGTGGCTCAGTGGTAGAGCCCCTGCCTAAATTCCCCAGTGAGGGGCTGGGGTGTGGCTCAGAAGTAAAAGGCTTAATTAGCCTTAGGCTGGATCCCCAACATGGCATAAAACTGGGTGTAATGGTGCACAACTGAAATCCTAGCACTGGGAAAATGGAGGCAAGAAGATTAAGATTTTAAGGCCATCCTCTGCTATAAATTCAAGCTCAGCCTGGGTTGCAGGAGACCCTATGTCAAAAACCAAAAACCAAAATCTTAAGCAAAGAAAACATTATAGGGATCCAAGGGAGCCTTGCATGAGTATGTAAGCAGTTGATGAAGTTCCCAAGTGAAGTTAAGGGCTAAGACCTCAGACCCGTGGGAATTGGCAAAGTGTTTCCCCAGGTGAGGCTCCAAGTCACGGCAAAGCCTTTCTCTGGTCCAAGTAGAGTAATTTATACAGTGTGTAAAAACTGGCATCTTCAGCTTCCTCATCCAGATGACTGCAGCCTGGGAGATGGTGGTCAGGTGACTGCAATCCCTGGACACCCTTGCCAGGGCACAGTGTCAGAGGACTCAGAGGTTAGTGTTGCCAGGCACTTCTCAGGTCCTGCAGCTTTGGGATTTCCCTAGGGTGAGGGACAAGAGACACATGTGTCTGCCCCTACAGTGACATCCTACTAAGACACCCCTCTCCTTGTGCTGCACATAATAAACTCACCAAGGGTCCCATTATTGTGCGGTTGGTACTGCTCCATCAGAACATGGCCCAACTAATCCTAGCTTTTTTGTACCCACGTCTGTGTGTCTGTCCCTTTTATGTGTCTGTCCCTTGTTGCTCCAGTCAGGTTTCCAGGACCAACCCATGCAGGAGGAGGTGAAAAACCAAACCAAACAAAAGCCCACAAGAGAAAGAATCTCTCCTTCAAAGAACTCACGGCCCAACAGGGAGCCAGACAAGCAGCTTCTCCAGTTGGCTACTTGCTTCAGTGGCGGGAAACAGAAGGGCTGGCGGCCTGTCACACCCAGCCCACATTAGTGCATACAGACATGGGCAGAAAAGACAGTTGGCATAAATAGACCCTTTGGGTACTGGTGAGATGGCACAGGGGGTAAAATCATATCTTATTCTTGCAGAGGACCAGAGTTAGGTTTCCAGCATCCAAGTGAGACAGCTTACACTTCCTATAAGTCTAGCTCCAGGATGTCTGGCGCCCTCTTGTGACCTCCACAGGCACCTGCACTCACATGCACATGACCCCCCCCCACACTACAGACACACACATATATAAGTAAACACACACATATATATAAGTAAAGATAAAATTAAAATATCAAACAAAACCAAAACAGAACCTCCACTCAAGACAAGATGCGACCCACATGGAGGGTTCTGAGAGGTAGGAGGATAAAGCCATGTTTAGGAAGCCATCCTCTAGCAGGTGGGACAGGAAGGCTGGTTGGTTAAAGGACAAGGAGATGGAAGATTCTTGTGAGTTGGGGCAGCAGCGAGGGGCTAGCTGCAGACAGAAGTAGGGAGATGCTGGACAGTCGCCAACAGTGCCAGGAGATGTGATGGGTATAGCCAGCCACTGCCAAGTCTCTCAGGGCTAGACTACCTTTCACCCAGTGAAATGGCTTCTGGAGGGGCTGGAGAGATGGCCCAGTAGTTAAGAGAACTGGCTGCTCTTCAAGAGGACCCAGGTTCCATTCCCAGAACCCACATGGTGGCTCACGACCATGACTCCAATCCCAGGTGATTAAAGGAAGGAAAGGATTCATGAGGTTAAGAAGCTGCCTTTTCAGGGGATCACAAATGAGGAAGGCCCCTGGGTCCCAGTGTGAGAGTGCAGCTGAGCTAGGATATAAAATTAGCCCAGGAAGTGGTTAGGAGTAGGCTGGGAGCTGCCTGCCTCCAGCTCAGTCTTAAGATAGGCCTGTAAGAGCTGGATGCAGGTGGCGCACGCCTGTGATCCCAGCACTCTGGGAGGCAGAGGCAGGCAGATCTCTGTGAGTTCGAGGTCAGCCTGGTCTACAAAGTAAGTCCAGGACAGCCAAGGCTACACAGAGAGACCTTGTCTTAACCCCTCTCCCACAAAAGAAGAAAGATAGGCCTAAAGGAGACATGCCACCCTTCCATTGTGATTAGCCCAGGAGGTTCAGAGCCACCTTCTTTTCTTTATTTTTTCTTTTTGGTTTCGGAGACAGGGTTTCTCTGTGTAGCTCTGGCTGTCCTGGAACTCACTCTGTAGACTATGCTGGCGCCAAAGTCAGAGATCCGCCTCCCTTTGCTTGCAAGCAAAGGTATGCACCACCTCTACTCAGCGGCGGCAGCTGCCGCTCCTTCTCCTGCCTCTCCAAGGACTGTGATTTCATGGATCACATGGTTTCCATGGTACTGAGAATTGAACCCAGAGCTTCCTGCATGTTAGGCAAAAATATTCTTCTAATTGAGTTACATCTACAGCTTCCTACTGACCCCCTTTCTATTTTTTGGTTTTGTTTTGAGATAAGGTCTTGCTGTGTAGCCCAGGCTGGCTTGGAACTTGGAATTGTCTTGCTTCAGTATTAGGATTATGGGCATGTACCACCAGCTCCATCTCTTACACTTGGGGGTCCCTATCTTGGACCAACACTTGCCCCATGGGGAGGAACACAGTCTGGCCTACATGTTCCCAGACCAGGCTGCTGGAGGGGGAGCAATGAGACAAGATGGAACCCACATGACTGTCAGGCAGCACCAGCTCTAATATTGCTAGCAGACAAATCTTTTTTTTTTTTTTTTTTTTTAATAAGGAGCAGTAGAAAGAAAAATGAGGTCTTGTAGGAAAAACAAAAACAATACAAAACAAACAAGCAAAAAATGGTGAGACTGTTAGACAGTCTCCCACCAGGTTTGTTTTAAACAGTCCCAGGCAGCAGGTTATGGAGTCTGCCTGCTTTAACTTCCTCTAAACATCTGGGGCACGGGAACTGTCTCTTGTCACCCAGGCGCCTGAGAGGTGGCAGCGGCCTGCCAGAATCAGCCACCTGCATTCCTGTCCCTTACTCTAGGGAAGTCTCCGCAACTGCAGAACCTGGCGGCCCAAAGCTTCTGACACTGCACCCTACCAAGGATGTCAAGAGTTTGGGGTCATTGGGCCGCCTCTCTGCCTCTTGGTCATCCTGTCCCTTCCTCTCCCTCCATCCCATACCTGTCCAGGAAGAAGCTCAATCTCCTCCTGTCCAGTGTCCCCGACCCAATTTCCCTACACCCCTTAACTAGGGGTGGGAACCCTCTCCTGCCCCCTTCCAGACCCTCCCGAGACCGAAAGAGGGATAGACGCCACCTCCGCCGCCGAGCACTCACCCTGGCTGGCCAGCCCTCAGCGCGTTTGGCTCCAGGTCTCGGCTCCAGGCTCGTGGCTGGCGTCTGTGTCGCGGCCGGGTGGCCCTGAGGCCCGGCCAGGGCGGAGGACCGGCCCCCTCCCTCTTTCCGCCCGCAGCGGCTGCCTAGGCAACCCTGCGCCGCCGTCACGTGACCCATCCGTGGGGCCCGCCGCAGACCACGTGACCTGAAAGAGCTGGGTGGGGACCTACCCCTCTCACAAGATCTACGGGGTCTTCGTCCCGGCAAAGTGCTTGCAGTCCCCGTAGGGTCCAGATGGGTGGGCCAGAGCGTGGGAGAGCGCCGTTCCCAGCACGGTGATGCCCACCAGCATCTGTGTCTTCACAGCGTGGAGAGGTGGGGACAGGGCGTGAGCGTTGCAGGGTGGGAAGAGAGGTGCAAGAAAGGCTCAGCCTGGCCAGCCACATCCTGGTTTGCCCAGGTTGTGCAGTGACACCTTACACAGAGCTACTGTGGTCAAGTGGGTGGCTCTTGGTCCCAGCAAATAGTGCCTCACACCAGAGCGCAAAGAACACTCACTAATTGCTGAGCTCTGAGCACTTCATGGAAGTCAGAAGAGGGTCGTTTGGACACTATGGGGTAGGGGTGGCGCCACGCCCTTCCACTCCCTGCTGCAGCCACCCTTCTGCCCTTTCTGGTGAACTCTGGGGTTTTACAACCGAGAAACTCAAACAGGAACGGGCTCTGCAGGAAGTACACATTAAGTAACTCTGAAAAACAAGGGGTTCGCCTCAGCGCCGCAGTGGGTGCCTCACAGCCCCTCAGAGTGCTTCCCGTTTGCCTAGTAGGCGGCCGCTGCGCGCTCTATATAGGATTTTTCCATCTTTCGCAATAGCATTGGACTGTGACACATTTACCCAAAGGAAGGAAAAATTCCACCCGTGCTCAAGTTTCCTGACAACCGGGAGCATAAAGATGTTGCTGACATCAGTTTTGACTCCAGTCCCATTAGGACAGGTGAAGCCAACTCATCCTCTCCAGTGCTGACCCACCTGGCAGTGTGGCCTCACAGGATCTTCACCTGTGTTTGCAGAAGGGCCTGAGCCTGAGGGAGCCACGTTCTCTCAAGGCAGCTGCCGGGAGGCTTGTTACCCTGAAGCTGGAGTAAATGAAAACAGGAAGGAGACACTTGGTAAACTCCAGCCGTTGCATCACGGATGACACGCTTTCAACGAGGGTATTTTGCCTTTTGCGGTTATTAGGAAGGCTTTGGAGTACGACTTCCCAGCACCAGGCAGTGAGGCTCCTGCACCGCCAGCACAATTATCTGGCATGCCTGGGCAAAAATGAAATGCCAACTGTAATTACCAGTCTTCTTAGGAGCCACTTTGCTAACCAAATACCAGCAAAGGCACTTAGTGTTTTTTGGCTCGCTTTGTCCTTAGAATGAAGCAAGCCGTGTGTCATCAAAGGAGGGACCTGCAGTTGGAGGTGCCCCCTTTAGGTCCCAGGGAGCTGACTGGGGTTACACAGAAGGAAACGAGTTCAGGTCCGATGCAAGGTTACTTTTCAGGGCATTGTATTGCTATCTGGGCTGTCTGCCTGAAGTTGGTTAAAAGTTACTCCCTTTCCTTAAATTTTTTTAATTACGTTTTACTTATTTAGTGGGGGTGGTGATGTGCTTCACAACACACATGTGAAGGTTGGAGGTGGGAGTCGTTCTCTCTCTCCACCGTGTGGATTGAACTCAGGTTGTCAGGCGTGGCAGTGAGTGCTTTTAGCTACTCAGCCATCTTGCTGGCCCTGGCTCTTTCTGTAGTGCCTTAGCCAGTCCTTGAACAAAATTCTTGGGCACAAATAATGAAGGTGTAGAGCTTACCTTCCCTTAATCAATGAGCCCTGTTGCTTGCTTTTCTAGGAGCCCCAAGTCTTATCATACAGCATGGTCTCACAGTTTGTGTCGTCTACATGTCCAGCCCACTGGCTCCTCACTTGTCCCCTTGGCTTGTCACTCATGGCCTACCTGTATCCCCCACAGTCCACTGTAGAAACTTAATATCAAACATACTAACACATTAGTCAGACTTCTGCAGTTTAACAAAATGCCCGAGGCCACGTTATAAAGACAAGAAGTTTATTTTGGCTTACACTTGCACAGGCAGAGGTTCTAGCAGCATGGTGGGAGGCCCCCTGGACTGCCTTGTATGGTGGGGTATGTACCCATTATTCTGTGGTCTCTCTCTATAGAGCCACCAGGGTTCAATCACAGCGGCCCACCCTAATGACCTAATCATTTCCGAAAGGCCCCACCCCTGAACACATAGGTGGATTAACTTCTCACCCTCATAATGCTATTAGTTTAAGATTTAGGTTGGGAGAGGGGTAAACTGTTTGGCTGGTGATGGGAGGTGAATCATATTGCTTACCCTGACCTTTCTTGTTCACTTTACAGTTTGCCAATCCTCTTCCTGGGTCCTACTGAGACCCATCCTGCTCTTCTCTGCCTCCCTTTCTTAGGGCTTCTTGTTGGCCTTTCACCTTCACCTTTCCCCACCTCACTTCTTCCTCCTCTACCCTTGACAGTCCATCCACAGAGTGTTTTAAATGGGAAGGTATCTCAGTGATGACACATGGCCTTTTTTTTTTTTTAATTTTGAGACAGGTTCTCTCATGTAGCCCAGGCTAGCCTCAAACTTTCTGTGGAGTTAAAGGATGGCTTTGAATTCCTGACCCTCCCCTCCACTCCACTGGTTTATGTGGTGCTGAGGATGGAACCCAGGGCTTTGTGTAGGCAAGGGTTCTATCAAATAAGTCACACCCTCAGACCCTTGGCTGATTTATTTTTAAGAGAGAGAGAAACACAGAGAGAGAGAGAGTGTGTGTAAGGATGCCTGCAAAAGCCAGAAGAGGAAGTTGGGTCCCCTGGGACTGGAATTACAGGTGGTTGTAAGCTGCCTGATGTGGGCGCTGAGATTCAAACTCTGTCCTCTGCAAAAGCAGAAATCACTCATAACCACTGGGTCATCTGGCCAGCCATTACAATCTATTTTATATACTGGACTCTCGTATCCTCCCTGGCCAGCTCAATCCTTCTGTCATTGGACTCTCCCCATGTCCCCTGCCCCCATCTGCCTCTAGGTCAGGATGCTGACCCCTCTGCAGGCCTCACTGCCAGGGCCTTCCTTCTAACCTCCTTCCTGTCCATACTCCATGGTGAAAGATCCCCTCGAGAGACCCCAAAGTTTGTAACATATGGTCTCCACCGTACCCCAGTCTCTCATTGGCTCTGGCATCCCAGGTTGAGCACTTGCTTGGCTTTCTGTAAACATTTACTACATCCTATGGAACGAGGAAGCTGAAAAGGGCCTCTCTGGACTCCTTCCAGGTGGATTTCTAAGAGTGTTCTCTTTATAGAAATACATGCTAATATATGGTAATTACAGCTCACTTTAGTGGAGGATGCCTGAGAGTAAACAGAAATTAAGTTCCAAGAGGTGGGGGTGGGGGGGCGGAAAGCCTGCTTGGTTCTTGGGCCAGGAGGGAAAGCAGTTTCCGCACAGCCTCCTTCTGTGCTTCCTTGGGAAGCAGCCAAGTCCCTGGTCCTGCAGGCTCGGCTCTCCAAGTCCATTCTTTTTTGTTTTAATTGTTAGGGCTGGAGAGATGGCTTGGTGGTTAAGAACACTTGCTGTTCTTCCAGAAGATCCGAGTTCTGTTCCCAACACCCACATGGTGGCTCACAACCATCTGTAACTCCAGTTCCAGTAGACCAAATGCCCTCTTCTGGTTCCATGGACACCAGGGCATGTAGTACACACATATGCATTCGTGGAAAATGTACATATACTAAGAAAAAACTTTTAAAAAGTTTTTTAGACTTAGACTCAGGAAAATCTCAACGAGGGACTGTCTATTTTGGGTTGTCCTGTGGGTACATATGTGGGAAACTGTCTTATTTAAATGTTTATTTATTTTTTAATGTGTGCTTAGGTTCTGTTCTATTGCTGTGAAGAGACACCATGACCAAGGCAACTTATACAAGAAAGTATTTACTTGGGAGCTTGCATAAGGTTTTAGAAGGCTAGTCCAAGGCCATCATGAAGAAGCATGGTGGCAGGCAGGCAGGCATGGTGCTGGGGCAGTACATTTCATCTACAAGATGGGAGCAGAGAGAGCAGAGACCCACCCTCCACGACAGAGCTCTTTCACAAGACCACACCTCACTTGTTCCTTGAGACTCAATTTCTCTGTGTAGCCCTGGCTATCCTGGAACTCTCTTTGTGTAGACCATGCTGACCGCCTGCCTCTGCCTCCTGAGTGCTGGGATTAAAGGTGTGCACCACCACAGCCCAGCTAAGGCTACACCTCTTAATCCTTCCTAACTAGCCCACAACTGAGAACCAAACATTCAAAGGTATGAGCCTATGGGGTCTTTCTTGTTCAAACCACAATGCATTATTAGTGTTTGCCTGAATGTATGTCTGTGCATCATGTGTGTGCTATGTCTCAGACACCAGAAGATGTCAGATTCCCTGGAACTAGAGTCACAGATAGTTGTGAGCCAACATGTAGGTGCTGAAAATTGAGCCCAGGGCTTCTGGAAGAATAGTCAGTGTTCTTAGTTGTTGAGCCATTTCTCCAGTGGGGAGACCTAGCCCACTGTGGATAGCACCATCCCCTAGGAAAGGGGCCCTGAGCTCAGCACAAGTGAGCAAGCACGCATTCACATTCTGCTCTTGACTGTGGCTGGGATGTGACTGGCTGTTAGAAGTGCCTGTGTTCAGGACCAGGTGTAGGGATGGTTAAGAAATGGGCCAGAAGTAGCCAGGCATGGTGGTTCACAACTGTAATCCCAGCACACAGGAGGTAGAGGCAGGCAGAGCTCTGTGAGTTTGAGGCCAGCCTGGTCTACAAAGTGAATGCAGGACAGCCAAGGCTACACAAAGAAACCCTGTCTTGGGGAAACAAAACAAAAAAACGGGCCAAAGTGACCCTGACTTCCATGCTGGTGTGTGCATGGTGGTGCAGCTTACTTCCATGGAAAGTGGGGAAGAACGTTCCCAAGCTGAGATTCCTTCTCTTTACACTAGTCCTAAGGTATCTGCCATACAGCCCTGGGAAGCCATTACGTGATCATGGAACACAGGTGTATGGGTCCTCTTAGTGGGTGAGACCCAACGCTCAGACAAGACCGGCTCTCCCGGGGCCTGCCTGGTGTGGACAGAGGACTGCTGGGTCACCCAACGCTCAGGGGCTTGAGCAAGGTAGACAAGACAGGAGGCAGGCAGGCACTGTCAGGAATGCTGATTGAGCATGACTTGTTCACAAGGTCACCAAGGGCCAGCTTGCCAAGGAAGATCCCATAGGACACTGACATGGGATGAGGTGAGGGGGTGTGTCCTTGTTTCTCTGTTGCTGTGATCAAACACTAACCAAAAGCGAGGAGGGGTCCATTTGCCTTGCACCTCATAGTCTGCCACCAAGAGAAGGCAGGCAGACCGAAGCAGACCATGGAAGGGTCCTGCTCAAAAGGCTTTTTGCCTACTTTTCTTACACAGCCCAGGCTCACTTGCCCAAGGGATGGCATTACCGGCTCGGACTAGGCCCTCCACGTCAAGAAAATGCAACACAGCTATATCCCCAGGCCGACCTGACAGACAATCCTGCTTCTTCCCAGGTATGTCATTGTGTCAAGCTGACATGTACTGTTCAGGGTGAAAGCCAGGACTCTGGGAGTTAGGCCTGAAGAGAAAATACAGGGACAGCCACAGGGTGTCATGGAGACAGGGCCTTGCTATTTCACCTGCTGGCTGAAGCAGAAAACATGTTCATACCCATATGTTCATACCATGCCCAGCTGGAGTGGGCTCGTGAAAAGCACGGGAAGCAGAAGACTTCTGTGCTCTCCACACTTGAAGGGATGGCTGCTGGGAAGGGCAGATCACACTGAAGGTCTCAGGGATAGATGCACCAAAACTACCCAGGTAAAGTCAGAGGTAGAGACTGGGCTGGGCTGTGGCCCTGAGCTGTGGGAACCGCAGATGCAAGGCAAGGGGGAAACGGGAGATCCTTATATACTCATTGTTAATGATAATGAGCACACATAAGCAGGCAGGGCCGACATTCAGGACTCACTGGAACCTGGGAGAACGCTGCATTCCTGAGGACTGAACCATTCGGGTTGAGTCTTCCAAGCCTCCAACCGCATTTCCAAAAGCTGGCTGACACAGTACACTACTTGGTGAGTGTGGTCGTTTGAAGGCTGTTTACTTACTTTTAAAATCACACTTATTTGTGGTGCATGCCTTTAATCCCAACACTCTGGAGACAGGCAGATCTCTGTGAGTTCAAGGCCAGCCTATTCTACATAGTGAGTTCCAGCCCCCCCCCCCCTCCAGAGCTGTTGTACAGAGAAACTCTTCCTCAAAAAACCAACTAAACAGATGAGTAAAGAAATGAATGAGTGAATAAAATTGATTTATTTGTGTGTACACACGACACAGCAGGTAGGTGGAGGTCAGAGAACAACTTTCGGAGTTAGTTTTCTCCTTCCACCATGTGGGTTCCAGGAATCAGAGTGTCAGGCTCAGCACTACCAGCTCAGCCTTTTAACCACCCCTTCCTCACCTCCTACCATTAACTCATTAACACGAGGCTAATAGAAAACATGCCGAGGGAATCGGATCACACACATTTCCCCCACCAGTCACGTCCCTTACTTCCTGCTCTCAGGAAGACTACACAGCATGCTAGTACAAGGCCTGGAGGATATTTCAAACAGCAGTGTCGCCAAGAGAACCAAAAGACACAGAGCACCAGCCACTAGGCAGACCATGGGAAGGGCGCCTCATGTATGAGCTGAAACAATGGGGCTGACTCCTTCAACCCCAGCTGGCAACGTGTTGACATTGTGCCTGCAAATGACTGTAAAAACACAAGTATGGATTTGTGGATTACAAATTTTACTGAACAGATAATTCACAAATATGGAATCTATGAAAAATGAGGGCCAGCTCTCCTCACCTCAATTTAAGATTTTGTGTATTTGTCTGTCTGCCTGCAAGTATGTATGCATGTATGTGCATGCCTAGTGCCCACGAAGGTCAGAAGAGGATTCTCAAGAACTGGAGTTACAGAGGATTGTGAGCTGCCCTGTTGGAAACCAGAGGTCTTGTGCAAGAGTAGTAACTACTCTTAACTGCTGAGCCATCCCTCCAGCCCCTCACTCAATTCTATTTTATGAGGGCTGAGATGACTCAATGAGTAAGAGTGCTTGCTGTGCAAGCATGAGGCCTTGAGTTCAAATCCCCAACACCCATTGAAAAGCTAGGCATGCATGCCTGTAACCCTGCTGGCCTGACAGCCACCAGCTTCATTCCAGGCCTGTCTCAACCCTGTCTCGAGGAGTAAGGTGTAGCATAATAGTGATGCCCTTTGGCCTCTGGTGTGTGCACACAGGTGCACGAACCGTGCACCATCACACAAAAAAGACGCCATCACTTTTATGAAACAGTCATCACTCACTCAGGCAGCATGAAAGAGGACCATATCTAATCTTCAGCCCAGCAAGTACCAGGCTCCCTCCCCTGCTGAAGTGAGGCTACCAGCAAGCTCTCTCCAGGACAGCACATCCATGACTGTCTAAGTCACACGGCTAGTTCAACCCTAGCCCCGCCACTTGCAACAATAGAAACCTTACTTGGAAAACTCCATGAGCAATCTAACACAAGAGTAAAGAACATTCTACTCTAAATGACCAGGCTGTCACACAAAGTGCTCAGCATGTGTCTACTGAGAGTGAATAAAAGGCAAACTGTGCAGGTAAATCAGGGGTCCTCAGAGATGACGTCTGTTCTTCCCGAAGAGCCCAGGACAAGCGAGCTTGGCTTTCGAGGTGAGGAGAGACTGGGCGTATTGGGGTGAAATGGCCACACTCTTGAGGCGCTCTGAGACAGTTAGGCTATATAGGGCTTGGGGTTCACCTCCAGGGCTCTCTCCACCCGTGAGTCCTCAGCGGGCATACAACAGCATGATCCTCCATTGTGGCTTCAGGGGTGGCTGGCAGCACCACCCAGCCACCTCAGTGACATCACCTAACTGCATTGTTTCCCGAAATAAATTAACAGTGTGAAAATAGAGCAAGTCAGCCACCCTGAGTACTGATAACCCCTTAGCCAGAATGTTCTCCCAGATGCTTCCTCCTCAATGTCAGCGGTCAGCCTGGAGTCCTTCTCTTTAGTCATTCCCAAGATGCCGGACGGAAGTGCCAAGTGCAGTGCTAGCCCAGGCAAACCGGAAGAGGCAGGAAGGGACTTGCTCCCAACTCTGAGGTAGCAGAAGTTAAGTCTTTTAGCCTAGCCCTGCTCCTCAGCAGCCCTCATCCAGCAAGAGCAAAAGCTCATGAGGTCTAGGCTGCAGGTTCAAAGCAAGAACCTTGACACAGCTGGGTAAAGTCAGGAAACCACAAGGCCAGTCCTGACGTGAAGGTCTCATGTGCCTCAAACTGCTTACAGAGGCGGAGGTTATCACATATATCACATGGCTCAGAGTGGGCCCAGGAAATCTGTGCTACAGAAGGAGAGAGGGAGTCATTTCCATCAGTGGTATAGCCACCGGGAAGGTTACCATGTTTTGGTAAATAACCCACCATCCAAGCTCAGTCAGTCAACCCTAATAAAACCTAGTGTGCTGTGCCAGAAACAAGACGTGAAAGCAGGAGGGGGACTCTGTTGGGAAAAGACCTCAGTGGGGGACAGGTAAGAGAATGGGAGTAAACATGATCAGAACACACTGCAAACATGTATGAGCTGTCAGACACCAACCAATTAAAAAGTGTAGATATTCTTAGCTTTCCTTTCACTCAAAATGCTACCAGCATCCCTAAAAGGCATGGTACCCCTGGGAGCTAGACACACTCCAGACACCAGCCAGGGCCCTACCGGAAATGGCCTGATGGCTCTGAGGACCCAGGCAGACCTGGATCACCTCCCTTCAACCTGGCATGATGCCCGGTCCTCCATACTCTGCAGGTGTTGGCTGTGCTCTGGGCCAGTCCACACAGCAGGTCTGACCACAGTCACTCAGAGGGAGGACTGGCTGCCTTCAACCCTATGCAGCAGGGTTTTCCAGAGCTCTCCAGCCCCTCTCTGACTTAAAGAGAGAAAAGCTTTTGGCTAATACCTGTCTCCATCTCCCAGGTCTCTCTGGGACACTCCTGCTTTCGTCACCTGTTGTTCTCTTGGAGCCTCTCTCCTTCTGCCCAGCCCCTTACTGCAGGCCCTGTTGTTTCCTACTTGTCCTGGAAACTGCTGGGCAGGTACAGCTCTTCAGCTTCTGTTCCATAAAGGAACAGGGCTGGGCACCCAAAGTGCAGGCCTTTCCCAGAGCCAAATCCATATGCCTGGGTAGGTCTGGAAGGATGACTGCAGGAGAGGACCTGCCAAATCCCAGTCTCTATGTCATTTCATCGCTTCTCTGAGGCTTTGGTAATTAACATCTTGCACATGTGGACAAAACCTCTAAGTTTTCTGCTCTTTACTAAATAAATATTCTCTTCACAGAAATTAGCCTAGAGCTCATTGGTGTTCAAGCAGAAGGGAACAGGCATCAGGGGAAAGGGAGGCATTTCCCTTCAGCAAGAGGGCAGGACACAGCAGGCAATCTGCAAACGTCTAGGATGGTCCCTCTGCTCTCCAGGCAGGCAGGCTCCTGCCTTCTCCCAACACAGCCAGTCTGGCAGCTGGGCCACAGGCTCTTTTCCTTTCTGAGGCTGGTCACAGAATGAGCTGGGTTCCTGACTGCTCAAACTACTCATCGGCCCATGATGATGTTGAGCTCCTCTTCCTCCTCCTCTGTTCCAGATGCTTCCTCGGAGCTGCTGGCATGCTGTTCCTGGCACTGACTGGGTTCTGTAAGCACAAAACATTCAAATCATAAGCAGACAGATTGGACAGAGAGTTGAGGGGATTCTAAATGAGGAAGAGGTATAGACACTTTACCTATAATCCCAGCACTTTCAAAATGGAGGCAGGATGAGAAAAAGTTCAGGGTTACCCTTAGCTACATAGTGAGTTTGAGGCCAGCCTGGGCAGTAAGCCCTGTCTCAAAAAGAGGGTGGAGACCTGAGGGCATACTTCTTTCTGGGCAGAAGCAGACAGGAGCCAAGGGTGGCCTTTGTGCCCACCAGTGCCCACGCTACTGTTTGGAAGACCTGCCACAAAAGCAAAATGTACTGCTCTCAGGTCACCCCAGCCTGACCCAAAAGACCTGGCTGTGCCCCTCAGAACCCAACACCCACACACCAGGCCTGATGAGTGCATGGTCCCCACCATCGACAGCACACCTACACTGGGCACCAGGAAAGATACCAGGTGTTTCACAGCTCCCACTGGGCTGCCAACCTCCTCTGCCTAAGCCTCAAGTTCTCACTGCAGATGGCAAGACCATCTTCTAAACCATGTACCAACAAAAGCCCATGAAGCAAAGGGCTGTGCCCACACACCAATGCTGGCCTCCCAGCTTTCCTCAAACATGGCCTAGGGACCTGCTTCTGATACCCTATGGGCAACTCTTCAGCTTCTAAATATTCTAACCCTGCTGCTAGCACTACGGCACAGCTACGCTGGCCCAGAGAACAGCACAGACAACTTGTCCCCAGTCCCTCCTTTGTCCTGGGAGCATGGGTGTGGGTGGGAGCTGGCTGGAAAGAGGTTGGGGAAAGCCTCAGCACAGGGGCCCCAGCTGACTCACTAGGGACTTTTTAGGGCATTGAAACTACTTTGTATAATTTCTCGGTGTATTCATGATACTACGCATTAGAAAAACCCATGTAACGGGGCTGGAGATACGGCGTAGTTCGGAGCGCTGGGTGCTCTTGCACTCCAGTTCCAGAGATTTTCTTCAGTTTACCACTGGCTGCAACTGAGGATGACAAGGTTTTGGCTTTTGTTTTTTCTCAGATGGATCAGACAGGAAACAAACAAAACAAAATGAAACAAACCCTAACCCAAACCAGAGCAAAACAGCCCCCGCCCCCAGTACTAAGGAATTGCAAGGTCATGGGGAACTGCCTGTGACTCAAGGCTGTGGGTGTGAAATTATTGTGGTGCTAACATCAACAGGGCACATGTATGAAAAACTGAAAGCAAGGAAAGAGCAGCGGCATGTTGGCTACTATTTTCAGTAAGGGTTACGGGTCACTATCAACTGGTCACTATCCACTCCACTTTAAAGATTCCCATGCCAGGATACAGTGGCTTCATGATCACAGGACACGAAGAACAATCCACTACATTTACACCTGTGGCTCAGAATGTTGGTCCAAAGCACACACTAGGCGCCTCTAGAGCACCTCTAACTCAAAGGGAATTCTGTGCCCTTCTGATTACGGGACATCTGGCAACGCCAAGAGATATTTTAATGTAATGATCAAGAGGAGATGCCTGCTTCTGATGTGCTAGCCAGCAGCTGAATCCTCCAGACAAGAGAAACCCAGCGCAGGGTGCAGCCAGCACTGAGGCTGGCAGAGAGCTCTAGCTGTGCCCAGTACAGAGCCTTAAGGTCACCCCAGGTTCCCTTGGAAGGCAGCTGTGTTAAGGAAGCAAAACAGTGGTTCAGACACATCACTGGTGAGCTCAGGGACTCCGAAGGATACAAACTGGCTTTCACTCACACTCAAGTCCCACGCTGCAGGATGCTGACTGAGTCACTACCCAGCACTGAACACAGCCTTAGGCTGGTGCCCTTCCGTGCCCCCAACCTTCTCTTTAAGAAGAACCAAAGAAGTTCAGCAGGGGTCCCAGAGTGTGCTGGGGCCACCTTGTGGCACACCGGGCACTCCATTTTATGTTCTATTCATTTCAACCAGGAAACTGGAAAATCTCTACTCTTTCACAAAATGGAAAATAGTCAGAAAAGGCGAGGAGAAAGGCATGCGGCACTGCCGACAAGCAGCAGACTGACTTCTGCTCCTAACAGAAAGCGCACACAACCAAGTATTTGGATATGCGCAGGTGGTCCACGTGCTGTCCCAATGACAGTGTTTGTTCAGTGTACTTCTCAGGATAACTTTAAGCTCTGACCCTCCTGCAGTCACCTCCTGAGTGCTGAGACTGGATGCCCATATCCAAGCCTAGTTTTTATGCAGTGCTGGGGATGGAAGCCAGGCTCCTTGCATGTTGGGCAAGCACTCTAGCAACTGACCTACACCCCTAGCTCAAGCACATTTCTCTTTTTTTTGAGACAAGGTTGCCCCCAACCCAAGAGAGGGTTTTTCTGTGTAGCCCTGGCTGTCCTGGAACTCACAGAGATCCACCTGCCTCTGCCTCCAGAGTGCTGGGATTAAATGCATGCATCACCACCTCCCAGTGAGACAAGGACTTTCTATGTAGCTTTAGCTAGCCAGAGATTTGCTTGCTCACTTTTCCAGCCTAAGTGCTGGAGTTAAAGACATGTGAAATCATGGCCAGCCCAAGTTTTGTTTATCTTTTTTTTTTTTTTTTGTGATGCTAGGTCTCACTATATACCTCTGGCTGGTCTGAAACTTACTATGTAGACCAGGCTGGACTTGAACTTACAGAGGTGGGCCTGCCGTTGCCTCCTTAGTGCTGAGATTAATGTGTGTGCTACCATGTCTGGCCCAAGTACTTTCTTAATACTGTTCCACTGTCATCATAACCATGTTGAGGACCAATCATCTTCCCAAACTGCAATGAAGCGATAAACACTTTCCATCGTGTGTCCTACATCTGTGCAACCATTACTGTGTCTATAAATCTGGTGCTCTGAGAACTGCACAGGTAGAACACACAAATGGAGCTATTCTCTCACTTTGGTCTATGCCGCTCACAGGGTCTTAATGTAGTCCATGCTGGCCTTGGGGTACACCCAGCTTTAAACCTGTTTCAAGCAGCCTTGGTGCTGTGCAGAGGCAGAAAGAGAAGCAAGGCAGAAGGCAAGAACCAACTCCTGAAAGCTGTGCCCTAACCTCCACATGTGGCTTGTGAGTACATACACATATCAGAATAAATAAAAGCAAAATAGCCCTGTGCTACACAATTCAAGGCCCACTGTGTTCAGAGAAAGACCCTCACTAGCACATAGCAACAACAAGGAACCTTTTCTCTTCCCAGCATTTCACAGTTCTGCCGAGATGAAGGCCATTAGTGCCCATGCTGCCCTGACTATGCAGCTCTAACACTGAGGCGGGCCCTTCTCTTTGCTGCTGGACTCAGAACAGCTGCCCTGGACTGATCACTGAGTGGCACTCTTCAGTCGTCCCTGGAGAGCACATAGTAACTTGGAGGCAGAACCACAGCTCACAGGAGGGCCAGAACCTGTTTGTTGCACACAGCCAAGCTAATGACCACTAAAAACAGAAACAAGAGCACAGCCTTACGAGATGCCATTCAAAAAGCCCAGGATACACTAGAAAATAAGTTGGCATCAGAAGAGCCAGAGAGCTCAACTGGTATAAGGCAATTAACAAAAATCAAGGCCCAGACAGACTAGGCACTGGAACTAAGCTGCTGTGCTGTTTTTGTCATCCTGACACAGGTCAGGGCCATCCAGGAAGAGGGAACTTCAACTGAGAAAATGCCTCCGTTAGATTGGCTTGCAGGCAGGTCTGTGGGCATTTTCTTTGTTAATGACTGATGAGCACTGTCACTCTGGGCAGGAAGTCCTGGGTGTGTAAGAAAGAGGCTGAGCAAGCTACGGAGAAGACAGTAGGAAGCACTCCTCTGTGGCCTCTGCACTGGTTCCCTGCTTGCGTTCCAGCCCTGACTTCCCTTCTTGCTGGAGCACAGCTGTGAGCTGAAGTAAACCCAAGCTGCTTCTGGCCATGGTGCTTTATCACACTACAGCAAACTAAGACAGCGCCTGGTTTAAACTTTCCAGAATGGAAGAGTGGCCTAGTCTTGGAATGAACGGGAAGGCAGTGAGGCATGGTGGCGCTGGCACACTCCTTTAACCCTAGCACTCAGGTGGGTCTGTGAGCTCAAAGCCACCTTGGTGTATATAATGAGTTCCAGGAAAACTGGGGCTACATAGAGATCCTGTCTTAAAAATAAAACAGAAACAAAAAGATATTTTTAAAAATGAGCTGGGTGGTGATAACACATGCCGCTAAGCCCAGCACTCGGGAGGCAGCAGCAGGCAGCTTTCTGTGAATTTAAGGCCAGCCTGGTCAACAGAACTATTTCCAGGACAGCCAGGGCTACACAAGAAACCCTGTCTCAACACCTCCCTACTTCCCCCCAAAAGAACGGGAAGGTAGAAATTGCAGGGAAGAAGTGGAAAGCATAAGTTAGAATCTAATGGAAGCTTTTAGAGCGTCCCTATAACGCATGTCACTAAAAAAAATTCACAAGATGTGATCAACCACAAAATGGAGACATTATGGAGAAAGACAGCCTGTAGGTGGATGATTGGGAACTACCCAAATGAACAGAAACAAAGAAAAATTGCCATCCAGTTTGACAAAATACATGCAAGAGTGAAGAAACATCTATGGAGGGACGCGCCCACATGCTAAGCCGACTGTGAAAGCAGCCTGTGTGCAGGAGTCCCCAGAGCAGCAAATGGTCTGCGAAACGGCAGGGAACTAGAAACACAAGCTGGACATACAGTGCACGTCTGTAATCACACAACTTGGGAGGTAAGGCAGAAGGGTCAAGAGTGCAAGGCCAGCCTGGGCTACATGAGACTCGACACCAAACACAAAAACGCAACAAACGATGAAACAAAACCAAAACCAAACTGATAGGCCTGGTAGGAAGGCTCAATAGTGAGGGCTCTGGCCGTCAAGCCTTGATCAAGTCTGATCCCTGGAACTCACATGGTAGAAGGAAAGAACCAGTGCTTGCGCTCAGGAGGTGGAGCCTGCAGGAGCAGTTCAGAAGTAGCCTTGGCTATAGTGAGGCTGAGCCAGGCTAGCTACATGGAGTCTGTCTCAGAAACTAAAAAACAAGAGGATTAGGAGAGGGATCTGTCAGCAAAAGCACTTGCCTTGATAGCATAAGGACCTGTGCTTGGCTCCTCAGCACCAACGGGAAAAGCAGGCATGGCAGCACGTACTTGCAATCCCAGCTCTATGGAGGAGACAAGAGGCTCTATGGGCTTGCTAACTAGCCAGCCTCGCCAAGTCAGTGAGAGACTGTCACAAAACCTAAGGCGGAGAGCAACTTAAAGAGGAACCTGACATTGTCCTGTCATCCATGGGCATATGCGCACATGCCCAGACACGTGTGTTTATGTGAAGCATACATAACCAACGGTTTCTGCTCCAAAGGCTGGGATAACCCTTCAATCCTTCCTCCTAGAAAAAGGAAAGCAGCAAGGCGGAGAGCAAGTGGAAGACACTGGACACACCTGAGGAGCACAGGCAGTGCGAGCACCGGGACATGGGGCATGGGGCAACGCTGGTAGCCAGGCACCCATTCAGCTCCCCACCAGCCTACTGTGTGGCAGCAGCTCTGCGTTCTGCTTAAGCCAGTCTGCAGTCTGGCTTTTTTTCTTTTTTTTTTTTTCCGAGACAGGGTCTGTCTACACAGCCCTGGCTATCCTGAATTTACTCTGTAGACCAGGCTGGCCTTAAACTCACAGATCCACCTGCCTATGCTTCACGAGTGCTGGGATTAAAGGCGTGTGCCATCATGCCTGGCTCATCCTGGCGGCTTTTTGACATATGCAGTTAACGAGTCTCCACAGCTACAGGTTACTGTCACCTCAGTGACAGTTACTGGCAGGCAGTGAGAGGACTATGGACATAGCTCACCTTCCTTCTGCTGCTTCTGTTCAAGTTTCATCTTCTTTGCCAGTAACTTCTTCTCCTTTAGCTTCTGGCTATACATGGAAGACATACAGAGTGGTCATCTCAGTGGTACATCTATTTATGCCATCTTCATAATGACACGTTACAGTAGCGGGGGCTAATGGGGGCCAGAGAGATGCCCCACAGTCAGAAGATCCTCAGTTCCCAGCATTCATATCCACATGCACAAACCATACAGATATACATGCACTTTAAAATACCAGCACTCAGGGAGGCAGAGGCAGGGGAATTGCTGTGAGTTCGAGGCTAGACTGGTCTACAAAGCAAGTCTTGGACAGCCAAGGCCAAGGCCTGTCTCAAAAAGCCAAAGCAAACAAAAAACCCAAAACAACAACAACAAAAACCTTTTAAAAAAGTGATTCTGCTAACCTATCATTAGCAATTGTTTTCACTGAAGTAAGTCAAGATCAAACTCTGAAAAGTAGACCAAGTGTGGTGGTTTATATCTACATTCCCAGCATTTGGTGAGGATAAAGCAGAAAAATTAAGAGTTCAAGGCCAGTTTGGGATACATAGTGAAACCCTTTCTCAAAAAAAATAAACAAGTGGCTAAAGAACTGGCCCAGCAGCCCAGAGTGTTTGCTGATTAATCATGAAGACCAGAGTTCAGATCCCAGAACCCATGCAACACATCAAGAATCCTGCAAACACCAGTAACTGCAGCTCCAAGGAATCCAATGCCCTCCTTTAGCTTCTGTGTATACAGAAGTGCACAAGTACATACACACTGACACTCACACCATCCTCTTGGGGGAAAAAAAGTCACACAGGAATTTCATTAGAAGAATTTCATAAATCCAATGTTCAAATGCAGAAAAATTGAGGCAGGGAGGATCAAGTGTTGAAGGCCAGCCTAAGCTTCACAGCAAGACTGTCTCAAAAGGCAAACACAAACAGCAGAGTGAGGGGAGACACAGAAACCCACATGGTCACCAAAGTTCCGGCTGCTACCTTTCGGAGCTCTGTAACAGGCTGAAGGAATACAAGGGCCAAGTGGCTTCCAGGGTATTACAAGAAAACACTCCTCAGAGTGCTCCTCATCTTGGGGCTTGCCTACCCATAGCCACTGCAGGTTAAAACCTTTTGTTACCTGTTTAGAGTTTCTTTTCTAAAGACTTATTTTACTTTTTAATTATGTGCCCGAATGTGGGTATGTGCACATAATGCAGTGTCCATGGAGACCAGAAGAACCCTCTTTCTGATACCCTCAGAGCCTCTGCAGCTAGAGTGACAGGTGGTTATGAGCTGCCCACGATCATGGGTGTGGGCACTGAACCCCAGGCCTCTGGAAGAGCAGTGGGAGCTATTTGCCACTGAGCCTTTTATTTACACATCTGTTGTGTGGGGTGGTATGTATGATGTGTGTGTGAGACTGGCACTTGTGTGGAAGTCGAAAGACACCTTTATTTTAATTTTTTGTTTGTTTTTGAGATAGGGTTTCTCTGTGTAGCCCTGGCTGTCCTGGACCAAACTCTGTAGACCAGGCTGTCCTTGAACTCAGATCTACACTCAACTTGAGGATGATTTTTAAAAACCACCATGCAGGTGCTGGGGATTGAACTTCAGAGCTACCTGCTAAGCCATGTCACCAAGTCTTTTGCTTTGCAGTTGTTTCTTGTGACAGGGTCTTGTCATTTGCCTCAGGCTGGTCTTGGGCTCCTGGTCAAACAATCCACCTGCCTTGGCCTACCTAGTAGCTGGGACGACAGGTTTTCACCCTAATAGTGGCTGTTAGTAAACTTTGGCCTACAAGGACTTGGTTCATTATCCACTATCCCTTTTCTCATTTCCAGCCTGCAGGCCTCAACGACCACCAGGGTAAAGCTCAAGCTCTTACCGCTTTTTCCGGCGCTTTGCAGTCTGTTCCTCTGCAGCAGTTTTATTCTTTTCTAGTCTCTTCTGAAACTCAGCATCCAGTTTTTGCTGAAAAAACAAACCACTGCCCCATCACTCAGACATACCCTGGGCTGGACAGGTTAAGTATAAGAGTTCAAATTCCACAGGCACACCACTAGGGGTGTCATAGATACGACCCCGGTCCCTAGAGCCACTTTAACCTTAAAAGATTGCCCCAGGCGGGACAGGTAATCAATACATAGCCCTCGGATAGCAAAATCACACTGTTCACAGAGACATCACTTATGCAAGACAAAGCCTGCAAGAAAAAATAGGGAGGGACCCTAGTGTGTCTGCATTCAATAAATGGCTTAGAGGGGAGAAAAGCAAGAGAAAGAACAGGGGGGTTGGAGAACAGGAGAAGGGAAAGAAGAGGGAGATGAGAGAGAATGATTTGAGACTCTTTGAGTGCAGGGAAGCTCTGGCGGCCTGTGCCTGAGCCATTAGGCAGAGCTCAGCAGAAGGAAGGGCTAGAGGACTGCAGTCCAGGAGTAAGGCCTGATGCACTGAGTAAGTGACTAAAGGGTTCATTCTAGAGCAGGGCAGTAAGGATGTGGAGGGGCTCAGTGGGCAAGGCACCTCCCTGTGTGCATAGCACTGTCCTCCAAGCCAGACAGCCGCCGTCCTTGAGTTCTTGTGCCAGCTTGTAAAAGATCACCACAGCTGGGCCTGATGACATTCACTCACAGAAAAGGGGACAGGAGGACCACAGGACCCTCATCTGAGTATCAAGCCACCCACACAACCACCTGTATACAATTCTGCCATAACTGCACATAGCCTCGAGGTCTTGGGGAGGGGCTAGAGCACATAAGCTGGGAAAGACAGGAAAGAAACTCTGCTGCTACAGGGAAGCCATCTTTCATACTGAATGAAGACTTTCCAATGCAGTGCTTTTGAATCACCCATGCTCCTATCAGTAACCCCTCACCATGTTCTGTAAGCCCCAGAAACTCATTGATTCCCCAGGGAGAACTCTGGGTTGTCACTGGGACCTTGGAGGGAGGGGCTAGATCTTTTCTAGTCCCCCCTAACCCTACAACTACTGAATCACCATGCAAGTGTGAGGACCCACAAAATCCATGGAAGAGGCAGTCTGTAATCCTGGGGACACCACACCTGGCCCTTTTTTTTTTTTTTTTTTTTGAGACGGGGTTTCTCTGTGTAGTCTTGGCTGTCCTGGCCTGGATTTAGACCAGGCTGGCCTCAAACTTACAGTGATCCACCTGCCTCTGGCTCCCAAGTGCTGATATTAAAGTTTGTGTCACCATAGCCAGTCTCTCTCTTTTTTTTTTTTTAAGACAGAGTTTCTGTATGCGGCCCTGGTTGTCCTAGAACTCACTCCGTAGACCAAGCTGGCCTTGAACTCATAGAAATCCACCTGCCTCTGCCTCGCAAAAGAGCTGGATTAAAGGTGTGCACCAACACCTGGCTGCACCTGACACTCTTAATGGTTCTTAAAGCACAATTTCTAAAGTAATTCTTAAATATTTTTAGATTTTATTTATTATTCATATAGTATTCTGCTTACATACACACCTCACACCAGGAAAGGGCACCAGATATCACTATAGACGGTTGTGAGCCACCATGTGGTTGCTGGGAATTGAACTCAGGACCTTTGGAAGAACAGCCAGTGCTCTTAACCTCTGAATCATCTCTCCAGTCCCTTCTAAAGCAATTCTTAAACTCTTATTAAAATCATCACCATCATCATCATCATCTATTGAAGTTGGGGATTTAGCTCAGTGGTAGAGTGCTTGTCTAGCAAGCACAAGGCCCTAGGTTCAGTCCTCAGCTCTGAAAAAAATAATAATAATAATAATAAACTATTTATCACCCAAAACAAAGAAATTAAGCACCAAGAAACTCAAGTCCTCTGAGCAGACAGTGAACACACACCACTATTTACACCAACCAGTGAACTTCATGAGGCACTCAGCCCAACAGAGGAGTCAGAAGGGACCCCATATGGTGTGGAGCCCTCCCTCGCTGTCCCATTACATGGCAAATGGCCTACAGAGAGGTGCCCTTCCATACACATCATTGTTCTAGAGTGAACAGACTGTAGTGTCAAGTCTGGCGCAGGGTCACTGGGTTCCATGGCTCACTGACCTTCTCAGCCATGGCATCCATGTAGTCTTGCCGCTGGTACTCTCTCCGCCGTAGATGTCTATACACATGGAACTCTCCACTGCCAGCCCCGGCACTGGAACCTACAGCCAGAACAGTTCAAAGTTCTAGATGAAATTCAGTTACTAGGTCTAGGGATAGAACACACTAGCCGAGCATTTGCCTGGGGGACACAGACCTTGAGTTTAATTTCCAAGACAACAAAAGAGGAAGAAGGGAGAAAAGAGGAGGACTTCAGTTACCAACAAGCTGCACTTAAACCAGGCAGATTAGAGCTAAGAACACAAACTGAAGGTACTGTATGTGCTGGGCCTTTCCACTTGTACTGTGACAAGGACAGTGTGTGGCTCATGTGGGTATTTGATGACTTATAGGGCACCAGCCATGAAGTCACTGAGAACCCCACTCAGTGGTGGTGTGTCTATAGTCCCAGCATTCAGAGGGTGAGACCGGAGGACTGAAAGCTCAGGGCCATCTGGAGCTACACAGCAAACCTTGACTCAGAACAAAACCAAACAAATGCTTTGTGACAGTAAGGGGGGAGCAGACTGTGGTTTGGTTAACAGCCATCTACAAAGGACTGTCAGCATCCCTCCATGATATCACAAGTGATGTGCTAGATTCCTAAAAGTTGAAAAAAACCTTTTGTGGGCTGGAGTGATGGCTCAAAGGTTAAGAGTACTGGCTGCTCTTCCAAAGGTCCTGAGTTCAATTCCCAGCAACCACACGGTGGCTCACAATCATTTATAATGGTATCTAGTGCCCTCTTCTGGTGTGCAGGACAGTACAAGCGGGCAGAACACTGTGTACATAGTAAATAAATAAATCTTTAAAAAAAATACCTTCTTGTAATACTGTAAGTGAAAAGTAGGTTAAAAACTACCTAAAATAACTATATAGAATAAAATAACTATATAGAAAGGTTTTTTTTTCTTTTAATTTTTATTAATTATACTTTATTCACTTGAAACAGTTTTTCTTAAAACAAATGTTTTGACTATAAAGAGATTCCGAAGGTTGCATCAGAATGTTTCATGTAGAATGATGGAATATCAGGTGGCTCTATTTACTTATTTATCTAACTAGAACTCACTCTATAGGCCACGCTGGCCTCAAACTCATACACATCTGCCTGTGCCTCCTGAGTGCTAGGGTTAAAGGTGTGTACCACCACCAAGAAGGTGGCTCCTTAAAAAAAAAAAATTAAGTTATGTGTACATGTGTGTCTGCCTGTGGGTTTGTGCACACAGGTGCAGGCGTCCATGGCGTACCCATAAATCCAGAAGAGGGTGTTGATCCTCCAGAGCTGGAGTGACTGGCACCTGTGAGCTGCCCAATATGGGTGCTGGGGATCAGACTAGGGATCTCTGCAAGTACACACTCTTAACTGCTCACTCACCTTTCCAGCCCCTAACTTTTATTGAAAGAGGTACTCACATGTAGTCCTAGCTGGCCTGGAACCCTCTATGTGGATCAAGAAGGCCTCAAACCAAAAGAGAGCCACTTGCCCAACCTTTGAAAGCTTGTATTCAAGTGCACACATTGTATACACACCCAACCCTTATAAAATGTTTACATTTAACATTTGTTTATTTATGGGGCAGGAAATGGTAGGACAACATGAAGTTGAGGTCACAGACAACTTTCAGGAGTTGGTTCTCTCACCATTTGGCAAGCACCTTTACCTACTAAGCACCTTAGCAGCCCAGCTCTCTATCTCTGAACTATTTGCTTCTCCTTAGTCCACTACATAACAAACATGTTTTCACTGAGAGAAAATTACAACTGGAGGCTGGTGAGACAGCTCAGCAGGTAAAGGCACTTGCTGCCAAGCCTGACAAACTGAATTCCATCCTGGAACCTACATGGTGGAAGGAGAAAACTGACTCCTCAAAGTCATCCTGACCTCCACAGGGTACCGTGACGTGCGTGTGTGCATGTGCACAAGCACACACAAATACGCAAATCTTTAAAAAGCCTAACTCTTCATTACAAAGAATGAGAAAACCAGGCACAGTGGTTGTGCTGTCTAGTTTTATGTCAACTTGACACAAGCCAGAATCATTTCAAAGGAACCTCAATTGAGAAAATGCCTCCATAAGATCTGGGTGTAAGGCATTTTCTTAATTAGTGATTGATAGAGAGGTGCTATCCTGGGCTAGTGGTCCTGTGTTCTGTAAGAAAGCAACCTGAGCACACTACAGGGAACAAGCCAGTACGGAGCACCTCTTCATGGCCTCTGCATCAGTTCCTGCCTCCTGCCCTGCTTCAGTTCCTGTCCTAACTTCCTTTAGTGATGAACAGCAGATATGGAAGTATAAGCCCAATAAATTCTTTCCTCCTCATTTTTCGGTCATGGTGTTTCATCGTTAGAAACACTAACTAGGACAATGGTGAAAGTGTGTGATGCCAGCAGTTAGGAGGCAAAGGCAGGAGTATTACGAGTTCAAGCACAGCCTGGCCCACATAGTGAGGCCTATCTCAAAAACCAAACAACGTGCTAGCATAGAGGAAACCTGGAAGATCTTCCCTGGTTAGTTTGTTTGCCTGACCATGTAGACCTTTACCCACTTTTTAAGCCTCTGAAAAAAATGGTCTAACCACAAGAAACAAAACTACCTAAGAATAAATGGGAAGACATTCTCTAGTGCCAACCATAAGACACAGCACTCCTCTACTGTAAAGACAAAAATTCTTCCTATCAAAGATGTAACCAACATGCACCAACAATCATGTTTTATATTTCCCCTTAAAAAATTATTTACACTCCCCCCCCCCCCCCCCCCAGATAACAGATGATACCCATGACATCTCGGACAAATTCTGGAGGAGGTCGAGGAGCCCATTCATTCATTTTCTCTGGAATTGGAACTGCTTTGTCCTGCAACAGTTAAACAGAAAAGTGTCTGTAAACATAAGGTCAATGAGGAAGTTACATCTCTTACGACTTAACACAAATAAGCAGGTTTCTCAAACCTGGAGCTGACGGAATGTTCTTCCTCTGCCCTGGGCTTACTTCATCCTATATACCATGGGGTCTGACATGGGCCACAGCTCTCTTATGCTACAGAAGTCTGGAATCTCAGTCAGTGAGAGGAGAGCCAACCTCTTTTATCAAAGGTATGAGACCTTGTCACCTGTTTTTACGAGGCCTGGTTGGGAGGTAAAGAATGACGTGTTTCAAATTTGTTGGCCAATACCAAAAACGTGAAGGCCAATAGGTGCTATTTAGAGGAGTTAAACACTTTTGCTAAGGCATCGGATTCTGTCCTTTTGTTGGCTTCTGAGATAGATCTCACTGGGTTACTGGTCTGAAACTATGTAGACCAGGCTGGCCTCGAATTTACAGCCAACTTCTGTGTCAGCCACCACAGTACTGGGATCGCAGGTGTGCACCAAGCCCAGCTTCTACCGCTTTGGTTCATATTAAAGTTAAAACGGAAGGGGCTGCAGGGCAAACTGGAATAGCAGCACGGGGCTGTTATCCCCAACTCGTTGAGGAGATAAGGCAAGAGGAGCCCAAATTTGAGAACTGCCTATACTACAGAGCTGATTCAGTAAGTAGCGTGGATAGAATGTGCAACGCCACAATAACACGGCAAAAAGGAACAATCTTAAAAAGGAGAGTACGAAAGGCTGCAGAACGCCTTCATACAGCTGCTCTGGAGGACAAGGGCAGGCGCGAAGCTCACTCTCTACGGGGCAGCCTGCTCCGTCTCAGGCTTGCTCTAGGGGTACTGAGTGTAGCATTCCCGAGTCTGGCAGATGGGCGGGCCGCAGAGCCCACTCCCACTCACCGGGTTCTTCATGAGCCGCTCCAGCTTGAGCTTCTGCTCCTCGGCCGCATTCTTGGGGATGACGAGCGTCTGCGGCTCTTTCTTGGGCCTGGGCGGTCTCACAGAGGTGGCAGCAGGACTCGCCATTCCAGCTTTCGTACTTCCTTGCGAGCGGCGGCGGCCGCGCGTCTTGATGACGACAGAGGGGCGTGCCAGCCGTGCGCCGGCACTCCCTGCCGAGCGCTCTGGCGGCGCGTGCGCACTCTCTCAACGTTGGTAGGAGGCGGTGCCGCAAGGCTAAACTGCCTGCTGACTGTTCATGGTGGCCTGTGATCATAGCACCTTAATTTCATTTCCTGTTTCAAAACAAATCAGGGCTGCTTGACTCTCACGTCCCAACGGGAAGAGGCGGCCTTTCATGATGAGTGGCCTGGCCCCAGGTGACCTCTCAGGTCCCCAAGGGCCTCGGGCAGCTTGCTTGTGGCTCCCAGCACGTCTCTTCCGGCTTCACTTGTTCCTGTGCTTTGTCTTGGAGAGCTCCTCTCCTCTACTTTTATTTATTTACTTACTTACTTATTTTCCAAGTGATATTTTTTAAAAGTAGCTCAGGCTGGCCTCGAACTCACAGCACAAAAACAATCCTAATTAAACAGAGAAAGAACTGACACCCACGGGACACTCAGATCCAGGGGTCTGTCCTCAGATTTTTGATGGCATGACAAAAGCCATGGTGGATGGGATGAGATCCTGGCAAGGCTGTTTAGATGCCCCCTCAAGGCAGAAGAGATTGTGCTCCTTGGTGCCAGCCCACCATTTCTTCACTTCTGTAGTCTCACAGGATTTAGACCTAGAGTACTACACGATGCCACCAGAGGGCAGCAAAATGCCACCAAGACCCGCTGGCCCCGGAAGGCCATCTACAATGCCTTATCTTCCTGGCTGGAAACTGGGACACGAACCCCAGTGAACAAGGGACCGAGGTGTGTTGGTGCACACCTGTAGTCCCAGCACTTGGGAAATAGAGGCAGAGGGATTAGGAATTTAAGGCCAACCTTAGCTGCAAAGTGGGCTTCAGGCCAGCCTGGTCTACCAGAGACCCTGTCTTAAAAATAAAAGGCTATGAGGAGTAGAGGGGAGTGGCGGGAGGGAGCCCCCTTGTGGAGGTGACTGCGGATGAACATTTCAGATGTATCAAGACGCTCCCATCCACAACTTTGTGCCCAGGTGTAAAGCGGTCCATCCACAAGTATCAATGGCTCTTATCAGCCAGCAGGGAAAATGCCTAGAGAAGACCTGGGATCTGCTCTGGATCCCAAGAAATGAAGGATGGAACCATCAGTGGAATAAGTGCTTAAAACTGATCAGGGGCTGGAGAGGCAGCTCAGCAGTTAAGAACATAAACTGCTCTTCCAGAGGACCCAGGTTCAGTTCCAAGCATCTATATTCAGTTCCAGGGGATGTGATGTCCTTTTCTGACCCATAAACATATGTGCAGGCAAAACATCTATACACATAAAACTTTAAATATAAATACATAGAGATTGTTCCCATTATTATGTGTCTCCCTGTGCATGTGTGTGTGAAAATACATACATTAGTGCACGTGCCAGCAGAGGCCACAGGTGTCGGATTCCCTGAAGCTGGACTTACAGGCAGTTGCGAGCTTCCTGTCATGGGTGCTTAGAACTGAACTCAGCTGACCTGCTAAGTCAGCACCCCAGTCTGCCTGACCTGTGTTCTCATTCACTCTCTACTAATATCACTAGGTAATCCCACACCTTGGCTAAACTTTATATTCTGGGTTCATCTTCCTCCCTTGCAGCTGCCTTCACCTTTCCTTTCTCAGTGTCCCAGGGGCAAGCACAGCCATTTACACATCTTTGATGTCCCTCTGGTCATTGAGCTTTATGCAGGTCTCTCCCCAGGGACAGGTCAAAACTGAAGAAAGCAGAAGTTCACCTGTGGTTGGGGCATGATGACATGGGGCCAGGATGGTACATCTCTGCTCTATTATTGGAGCTGTGAGGGGGCATGTGAGTGAGTGTGTGTGTGTGTGTGTGTGTGTGTGTGTGTGTTTGTTTTTGTCACTACCAGGGGTGGAACCCAGAGTCCCAGATGTTATGCAGGTGCTCTACCACTGAGCCACACACCCAGCCTCTACCAGCATACCTGCCTAGAATCCCCCAGTGAGGGGCTGGGGTGTGGCTCAGAGGCAGAGTGCTTATGTACCACATGCAAGGCCCTGGATTCCATTCCCAGAACTGCAAAGAAAACAGGAGGAGAATGGGCAGAACAGACCCTCGTATGTTCTAAAGCTTCAAGCCATGGCGTTTACACATGGACCACAGTGGGCAAGCCACGCTGGTGCCCCTACTCTAGGTGCACTCTGATGGGCATGTTCTGACTGCTGTGACATCGAGATGCTGCTTGAGAGCTCATTGCCACATCCTTTAGTTCTTATCTGTGATGGTTTCTCAGATCCTCCTTGATTGTAATGCCTTGGACAGCACTGAGTGCTGGTCGGGAGGTTTGCAGTGGATCCCTAGGGGTATGTCTGATAGTGTTCTTTTCATTAGACTGAAGCACATTTGATATTTCACTTATTGCTGTCATTGTTCCCTTTAGTCTAGATTGTTGCAGTTTTGGCTGGTAGGAGCCTTCAAATGAAGCTCTTGAAGGAAAGAGAGAAAGAGAGACAAACAAAACAGCTTTACAAAGAAAAGGAGGCACCGGCAAAACGGCTTAGTGGATAAAAGGGCTTGCTGCCTAGACTGTTAAAACTGAATTTGATCCTCAGGCTGCAAACTGTGGGAGGAGGCACCTGACTTCCAAAAGTGGTCTTCTGTGTATTGTCACACACACACACACACACACACACACACACACACACACACACACACCATGAAATTTTAAAAATGAAAACAGTGTCAGGAGTGGTGGCATGTTATAATCCCAGCACTGTGGAGGTCAAAATAGGAGGATCAGGAGTTCAAAGCCAGCCTTGAATATATGAGTCCTTCTCTCAAAATCAAACAAGCTGGACATGATGACATAACACATGCTTTTACATTTAGCACTGAAAAGACAGGGGCAGGCAGATCTCTGTGAGTTCAAGGTCAGCCTGGTCTACATAGGGAATTCCAGGAAAACTAACGGAATATAGTGATACCTTGTCAAAAAAAAAAAAAAAAAAAAAAAAAGATTCACCCCAAACAAAAGACAAACAGCCTAGTAAATCAGAGGCTGGAGATATAGCCCAGTTGGAAGAGTAAGGCTCCTCTAGTATGCATAGAGCCCGGGTTCAGTCCCTCAGTCATGGTAGCAGCACAGCTCTAATCCAGGCATTTGAGATGTGTAGGCACGAGGGTGATTTAAGGCCCTCATGCTACATCGAGAGTTGAAGGCCAGCCTCTATGACAGCCTAAGTCAGTGTTCTCAACTTTTCTAATGCTGAGCCCCTTCATGGTTGGTGACCCCCCAACCATAAGATTATTTTCCTTGCTACTTCATAAGTGTGACTTGCTACTGATATAAATTGCAGTGTAAATATCTGTTTTCCTATGGTCTTAGGCGACCCCTGTGAAAGGGTAGTTTAACCCCCAAAGGGGTCATGACCCACAGGTTGAAAATCGCTGCCCTATATAAAAAAGAAAGAAAGGAGGCTGGAGAGATGGCTCAGAGGTTAAGAGCACTGGCTGTTCTTCCTGATGTCCTGAGTTCAATTCCCAGCAACCATGTGGTGGCTCATAACCACTATACTGAGATCTGGTGCCCTCTTCTGGCCAGCAGCTATACATGCAGGTAGAACATTATATACATAATGAATAAATAAAATCTTTAAAAAAAAAAAGAAATAAAGGAGGGAGGATAGGAGAGAGAAAGGAAGGCTCATTGGCGTCATAGCTGAGGAGTTGGGAGGACTAGAGACCCCATCTGGTGATGGCCTTCCTGTTGACAGTGCCCCAGGGTTGACACAATGTTGCAAAAGATGGGGAATTTGTGTCCTCTGTCACTTTGTGTTTAACGTAGCTCAAGCTGGCCTGGAACTCATGACCCTGTTGTCTCAGCCTTCTAAGTGCTGGGGTTACATGGGGTTACATTACATCTAACCCTCAGATCTACTTGTGACTCAAAACCATTCCAGAGTGTCCAGCAAACCCCCGCAGATTTGGCTGATGACATGAACAGCTCTTTTTAGGTACAGGCTGTTTGTTATTCACATAAGGGCAGAAGTAAGAGCCCCAGGATGGGTCAAGGGAAAATGGAGAACCTGTGTGAAGGGCCAGGCTCCTAACTCAGTACTGGGGAGGTAGAAGCAGGATTTGAAGTTCAAGGTCATCTCTAAATACAGTGAGGTCAAGGGCAGTTCATGCTACATGAGGCCCTGTCTCAAAATATTATGAGACAAACAGACAGACAGACACACACACACACACACACATACACACACACACACACACACACAGAGAGAGAGAGAGAGAGAGAGAGAGGCACATGTCTATAATCCCAGCACTTGGGGAGGCAGGGGCAAGTGGATCTCTGTGAGTTCAAGGCCAACCAGGTCTACAAAGTGAGACTAGGACAGCCAAGGCTACACAGAGATATCCTGTCTCAAAATAACAACACTAAACACAGAGTGGGGGAGGGCACTAGTGAGGAGGATGGAGACTGGAATTTGCCTTTCCTTAGCCTTCCTGGAAGAGAGGAGGATCCTGGAAGGTTTTCTGCCCTCCAGAAAAGCCAGGGCTCTCTGCCTAGCCTCAGGCCTCCCATGGTTAAGCTCCACCTGCAAGGGCTATGTAGAGACTTGTATGGTGGCCAGGATGTGTCAGGGGAACCATTTGCCTTAAAAGGGCTAAGACTTTTCAGTTCTCTTTCTTGCCAGCACCCCTACTGACAGCAGTAGGGGCAGAAAGAAGGATGCAGGAAGAGGTGTGAGATGGATCCTGCCAAACGATAGAGCTGACTCACTCACTTGCCAGGACTTTATCCTTCAGGGATGCCATGCTGGATCACTCTGAGGAATGTCTGGTGATGGACCCTCAGGGAATCCTCAAGATGGCCTCTCCCAATGTAGCCCTTCCTACCCTGAGTTCACAGGTGACCTTAGCTTTTTCATAGAACTAGCAGCTAGCAGTCCTCTTCCTCAGCTGCACAAATGTGTCTAGCTTT